CCTAGAAGGGCTTAATAAGGATAATGACTTATGACACAAGAGGTCCTGGAATCTGTGGGAGGAGCAGACCGTAACCGGCTGTTGAATGGTAAGCTTTAGAGCCTCCTTGGTTAAGCAAGCCGCCGCTGCTAGTGCCTGGAGGCAAGGCTGCCATCCCTGGACACTGGGGTCCAACTGTTTTGGAAGGTGACCGGTCAGTGAGAGGGTCCCACTGGTTGGGCCAGAACCCTGGTCGCCATCCCAGTTCTCTCCTCGGAGAACAGGAGAAAAGGCTCGCGGAAGTCAGGAAGCATAAGTGGGGGGGGAAGCTAGGAGTGTGTCTTGCAAGGTCTCGAAGGCGCAGGCTACAGCTGAGGGAGAAGTGAGGGGGCCGGTGGGAGATTCCTTAGCTGCAGCATATAGCAGTTTAGCAAGTATAGCGAAATTGGGGACCTGATACCTAAAGAAGCCCACCAGCCCAAGGAACAACAAGATTTCAGCACCTGAGGTGGGTGATAGGAGTTCCCTGATGGAGGTGGTGCAGTCCGCTGTGAGGGCCTTGAAGGTAGGGGTCAGGGCACCCTAGGTAGGTGACTTGTGGGATAGAGAGTTGAGCTTTGGAAGGGGAGATCCTGTATCCCCGCTGTGCTAGAAAGTTAAGGAGGGAGGCTGTAACTCGGAGAAAGACCTCCCTGGAGGGGCTGCACAGGAGGAGGTCATCTACATACTGGAGGAGAGTGCTACACCCAGAGTCATAAGAGGACAGGTCCTCAGGCAATGCCTGGCCGAAAAGGTGGGGACTATCACGGAATCCCTGAGGCAGGACTGTCCAGGTTAATTGTTGGGTCCTGCAGGTGTCTGGATCCTCCCAAGTAAAGGCAAAGAGTGGCTAGGAGTCTGGATGAAGGGGGATGGTGAAGAAGGCATCCTTAAGGTTCAGGACTGTGAAATGAGTGGTAGTGGGGGGGTATTTGAGCTAGGACAGTATATGGGTTAGGGACCACTGGATGCACTGGTACTTCGGCAGAGTGATTATCCGCAGATCCTGCACCAGTCAATAAGCACCAGGTGGCTTCTTTACCGGGAGGATGGGAGTACTACAAGGGGAGTTGATAGGAACCAGAAGACTCTGGATGAGCAGCCGGTTAACAATGGGCTGGAGGCCCTTGTGATGGGCGTGTGAGATAGGAAATTGAGGCCTGGATGGGAAGCAAGAGGGATCCTTAAGGCGAATGAGGACTGGGGTGTGGTGATTGGCCACCATAGGAGTAGAAGTGTCCCAGACTACTGGATTAATTTTTGGGGGAAAATGGGGAAATCGGACAAAGGCTCCGGGGAGAAGACAGCACAGGTGAGGGCCAGGAGCAGATTCAGGGGAACTCGCTGTGAGGTGAGGCAAATAGATGCCCCGAGCTTGTACCGAAGGTCTCGTCCCAGCAAAGGGACTGGGCAGGAGGGGATAACTATGAATGAATGGGTGAAGGAATGGCCTTCAAAAAGGCAGGACAACAGACCCGTCTCCAGCGGCTTGGAGGGTACCCCCGAGACGCCCACAACCAAGACCTGAGAAGGATGTAGAGGCCCGTGGAAGGAGAGTAAAATAGAATAGGTAGCCCCCGTGTCCACCAAAAGGGAGATGGACTTACCTGCTACCCATAGTGTGGCCCTGAGCTCGGCAAGGGTGATTGGGATGTTCGAGTCCAGGCGGCTTCAGTCGCCCAGGAGCTTTGGCGAGGGGGCCATTGGGGGAGACAGCCCCCCGCGAAACTCTGTCACCAGGGGATGGTTCACCCCCAGGGAGCACTCAAAATTCCAATGTCCCTCTTGTCTGCAGACTGGGCAAGGTCGAGTCAGTGACCTGGGGCTGGGGCATTGCTTTGTCCAGTGGCCTTCCTGGCTACACCTGAAGCAGGCTCCCGGAGGTGTTCGGGTCTTGGACTGTTTCCTGAGATGGGGGCCCTGAGGCCCCTGTTGTGCTGACCACAGGGTGACTAGGGCTTGGGTTTGAAGGGCCACCTTCTGTTTTAGCCTCTAGGCCCATACGGCCTTGGCTTCCTCCTCTTGGGCATTATAGACTTTAAAGGCCATATTCACCAGGTTTCGGAGTGGAGTTTGGGGTCCCTCCTCCGCCTTCTTAAGTTTGCACCAGACGTCTGGAGCGGACTGGGTGATAGTGGGTAGCTAAGACTGTGGACCTTGGCGGTGAGGAAGGGTCCAAACGAGTGTGAAGGGTAAGAGCCTCTGTTAAACGATTAAGGAAAGAGGCTGGGTTTTTGTTAGGCTCCTGTGTGATCTCCCTTCAGTTTGTCATAGTTAACGACTTTTTGAGCTGCCTTTTCCATCCCTGCAATAAGGCAGTGGACCATCTGATCCCTCCTAGTCCTACCTGTGGCACCATCCTGATAGTTCCATTGTGGGTCCTCAGCAGGCACCGCCATGGCCCCGACCAGCAAAGAATGGTCGGAGTTATGTACCTGATCAGCATAGTCCCGAGCTGCTGAGGTGACGTGATCGCGCTCCTTGGGAGTGAGGGTGGAGGTTAAAATCACGTGGAGGTCATGCTACGTGAGCTCGTATGCATGAGTGAGGTACCGAAACTCCTTGGTGTAGGCAGTCGGGTTGGCAGAGTAGGAGCCTAGGCGCTTTTCAATCTGGCACAGGTCCCCCAGGGAGAAGGGAACATGTACCCGAACCAGTCCCTCAGCATCTGCCATCTCCCAGAGAGGGGCCAGTAACTGGGTCTGGGATCTGGTAACCAGAGGGCAGGTCCGTTTAGAGGGCGGTGTAGGATTGTAAGATGGAGGCGGGGTGAGAGTAGGGAATGAGGTGGAAGGAGGGCAAGATGGCAATGATGACGGAAGAAGAGGGTACAGCTTGTGGATGGCTGGGGCAGAGCCAGAAACAGAGGAGTCAGGCGTGACTTCAACAGGACCGGAGGAGGGAGGCGGTGTCTCCGAGGCAGTAGGAATGGAAGTGGATGGGGGAGGGGAAACGACTGAACCCGGAACGACTGGAGCTGAGGACAAAGGAATTAGAGATGATGGGCTGGGGGAAAGGGCTGGATATAGGAGAGGCGGGCTGGGAGGTAAGGCAGGAGCAGACACTGGAGGGGCCTGAGTGGAAGAGGTCTGGGCACAGGTCGGATAAGGAGGGGGTTGAGAAAGAGCAGACATTTGAGAAGAGGCAGATGGGAGGGGAGGAGAAGGAGGGGTAGGAGCTGGAAGGGGAAGGCCAAGGTCCTCTGGAGGATCTGTAAAGGAAGATTCCAATGCAGGGAGAGGCTGATAGCCCCTATCAGGGGATTTGGCCAGGAAGACCTGAGCCAAGGAATATCTGACGCAGAGGTCTGGGCGGGAGCGCTATACCCAAAAGGCCTAGATATAGGGGACCTCAGACCACTACCCAGTCCGGTGACAATAATTACTGAGATCGGTGAGGAGGCCGAAATCAAAAGTTCCCTCGAGGGGCCAGCGAGACTGACTGTCCAGAGGATATTGGGGCCAGGCCCAGGAGGAAAGGAAGATCAGCTTCCGTTTACGGATATCTTCGGACAACCCCAGAGTAGCCAGATTAGATATGAGACACTGCAAGGGGGTCTGAACCTCAGTTTTAAAAGGCTGGCTTCCCATGGCCGCAACCTCCATTCCCAGGTCCCTAAACAAGCGAGCCCAGCGTCCCAGACCCACTTAGAATAGGGACAAAAAGGAAGATCTGCTTCCATTTATAGGGTTGGCAATCTGGAGATAGGGACGTCTCCACTACACCAGAGCCAAAGGCACCATGCCAGAGGGGTGAGCCCAGACGCAGCTGCGATTTCGGACTGGGCACCCTGGAGGGTAGGAGGAGAAGTCAGGGAAAGCGAGGGACTCACCACGTTGTCTGAGGTCCTGGGGCCAGGTCCTGTTCCTGAGAAAGGTCCCGGATCAAGGGGGGAGGACCCGCTGGGGCCCCACACCGTCCTCCCGGGTTTCGGCACCAAATGTAAGGTAAACAAAACCAGACCAGGCGAGATGGCAACAAAGGAGCCAAGAAAAATTTATTAGCGCAATCCCGGGAGAGGTTCACTGGTCCATGTAACTGAGGGCCGGAGAAGTCGTGCCCAGGGAGATGGGCAATGGGTTTATAAAGGGCACACTGGGAAAGCTGTGAGGGGGGATTGGGGAGAGCGATTACTGGTTGGGACAGCTGTCGTGTCTGCTGGTGATTGGTTGAATGGGATTGTTAAGAGTCGCTTACTTTCGCCCATTTTGCTGGCTCACTTTCGCCCATTGTTCTCCTGGCCTGGGTTGGAGCCATCTTGTTGAGGCCCGCCCCGCCCTCCGGTACCTCCGGCCTTACAATTTTCACTAGGTGTATTACATGAAACAGAGAGTACTTTGAAGGTGAGTGAAGTTTAAACATTTAAGAATAAATACACAGGCAGGGCAGGGTAGCTCAAGCCTGTAATCCCAGCACTTTGGGAGACTGACGAAAGAGGACTGCCTGATCTCAGGGGTTTGAGAACAGCCTGGGCAACTTGGCTGTTCTTCAAATCAAAAAATTAGCCTAGCATGGTGGCACATACCTGTGGTTTCAGCTACTTGAAAGGCTGAAGCAGAAGGATCACCTGAGCCCAGCAGGTCAAGGCTATGGTGGCCGTGAGCATGCCACTGCACTCTAGCTTGGGCGACAGAGTGAGACTCCAACTCAAAAATAGAATAAAATAAAAGTCTTGGGTTTTTCTGTACCAGTTATGACAAGTGTTACTAAAGTCAGATGTGATAGTTTACAGTAGCTTAATAGAATGTCTAGTTCAAGGGCATTTTTTTTCTTTAATACTGTAATGGGCAATGTTCTTAACAAACAATCCCTTTTATGGAGTGGGATTGCATAAAGAATTCTGACTAACTACAAAGTTAGGGAACACAGTTACCCACAAGACAGCTCTCACCCTGACAACAACTTCAAGTCTGAAGGGTTCCTCAAACCACCTCAAATTCAGTCACTTACTAGAAAGTGTCACAGAACTCACTGAAAGCTATTATATTCACAATTATACTTTATTACAGAAAAAGGATACAGATTAAAATCACCTAAGGGAAGAAGTATATAGGGCAGAGTCCAGGAAAAATACCAAAACTGAAGCTTCTGTAAACTTCTCCCTATAGAGTCAGGATGCCTTATTCTCCTGGCATCAATGTGTGACAATATGCATGGAGTACTGCCAACCGAGGAAGCTTACTGAAGCCTCAATTTTTTGGAGTTTATATGGACATCGTTGGTTACTGACCAAATATTTGATCACAGTCTCCAAGTTGACTGATACCATGTGACCAAAAGCTCCTGCCCTCGGTCATTCTGGCATGAACAGTCTTTATCCTAAGACTATACAAGTGTGGTCAGCCACTACCTTAGACTGAATTTTTAGATTATGCAGTATAGCCCATGGCCCCCATGCAAACAAAAATTCTTCTCAGGCATCATACTTCAAAAGCCAGAAATTACTTTCTAAAAGCCTACAGAAAAGGCCAATCTCTCTTTGGACAAGGCCAAATTTTTCACTTTACAGATTCCATGTCTTCTGATTCTGCAATATCTCTTAGGGCACTTAGTTTCCACCACTTGATACTTTCCTTTTACCATCAGTTTCCAAGGCATGCCTTTTCTTTTTATGTTGCGTTCCCTCTCTTCCAGAAGTGGTCACTTCTTAAGACTTCTTTCTTTTTAATTGAAAAATAAAATTGTATATACTTATTGTGTATAATATATTCTTTTGAAACATGTATACATGGCAGAATGACTAAATTGAGCTAATTAGCATATGTATTACCTCAGTTACTTTTTTTTTGGTGAAACCATTTAAAATCTTCTCTTTGAGCAATTTTTCAGAATACAATACACTATATTAGCTATAGCCACCATGATGTAGATCTTTTGACTGAGATTGCCAACTTTTGTCCCACTATTTTCTTTTCTTTTCTTTTTTTTGTCAGGGTCTCACTCTGCTGCCCAGGCTGGAGTGCAGCGGCATAATCACAGCTCACTGCAGCCTCCTGAGTAGCTGGGACTACAGGCACATGCCACCATACCTGGATAATATTTTGATTTTGTAAAGACAAGGTCTTGATATGCTGCCTAGGCTGGTCTTGAATGCCTGGTTCAAGCAATCCTCCTGTCTCAGCCTCCCAAAGTGCTAGGATGACAGGCATGAGCAACTGCACTCAGCATCCCACCATTTTCAATTCTCTAAAAGGCAATGCTTTGATCCAACAGGCTTAGTCATGTTGTATTTCCTGACTCAAGATGGTGCTACAGAGACTCACTAACATCTGTCCATATTGCCACAGCCCCAAGAGAAGGGCATGAAAAGGGTTCAAGGGCTCCTGTATATTCCTAACAATATTCCTAAGAGCTAATAAAAGGTGAGCTTCCCCTTATCTCCTATGCACTCCCAGTAAGAAACTTCAAAGGATCCTTAACTTCCCTGCAGACTATACCCAGTAAACTCAGAGATATATTGCTGACATATTCCTGAGAGTCTCCTTATCTCCTATGCACTCCCAGTAATTAACTTCAGGGGATCCTTGACTTCCCTGCAGACTATGACCAACCAACTGAAAGATGCAAATTCCCATTTACTCCCTTTTCTTAGTAGTCATAGGTTTGTATAACTCTGTATCATGTAACATTAGTTTTGTGATTTGTATTAATTCTGCATAATGCATGTCTTGGTAAACTCTCTTTACTCTATGGCAAGCTTGATTAACATTTCTGCCAGGCCCTATTGAAAAAAGTTGTGAGATACCTCTGGTACCTGCCACCAGAAAGTCTGAATCATAAAATGTCACTATCAATAAATGTAGTTAAAACTGAAGTTCTATATAATGTAACTGGTCACGTGGCTAATGTGTAGGTACTAACAACTCTGGACTTATAAAAAGTGGACTTTAAAACCTAAAGGGTAAGCAGAACCATTTTAAAGAAGACAAAAGCCCACTCTGCTCCATGGATTCAAATTCAGAAATAAAACTCTTTCTACCAGTTCCCTGCCCCTTTGATTTATTAGTATCAAGGAAGAGAAGCCGAGCATTACTCAGACCATAAGAGTGGGACTCTACCTTCATATGAGTTAAGTTAGCTGTTTTCCAATACTGCCAGTACTGCAATACATCCTCCTCTTAAAAAAAAAAAAATTATAAACTATAAGATAGAGAGTCGGGCATGGTGGCATGTGCCTATAGTCCCAGTTACTTGTGAGGCTGATCGAAGGAGCCCAGGAATTTAAGGCTGCAGTACACTATTATGTGCCTGTTCACAGCCACTGCACTCCTCCAGTCTGAGCAACATAGTGAGACTTTATCTCTAAACAAGTATGTATATAGACAAAAAGGCTACTTATAGGTAGAAAAAGGTAAGACTATGGGCAAAAAGACAAGGAATTAAGCCTTATTTTGCATGTTTGACTTTGGGAGCATATAAATAATTTCAAAATTATAGAACAAATTTCTAAAGACTAATGTCTAAAAATTGAGAGTAAAATAGACAAATTAAACAATGATTCCAATTGGTAGGTATGGTATAACTTCTGAAGAGGAACAGATCCAACTGACTTTAAAATACAGTAATTTGACTGCATATCTCCAGTGGGATATACCCTAAAGAACAAAAAGAATTGCAAAACACAAACAAAAACACAAAAAAAGTATTTTTAGTAATCAAATATTGAGTATTGCTAATGAAGTGTGGAAGAAAAAAACCAGCATTTTGTCCACTTTTAGTTCCATGATCCCATCTGGGACGCTACACTACTTTGAGTCATCATGTCTCCTGGACTCCTCTTGGCTATAACAGTTTATTTTTTGTCTTTTAAAAAATACCTATGTACTAGCTTAGTAATGCCATAGAAGCAATACACAACTAGTAACAATGAATATACTAGCACCTGTACTATAGTCTCAAAATACTATTACCCAATAAAACAAAGAAGATCTTAACCAGGAAATGTACATGGAGTCTAGAACAGAATAATAATGGCCTAATTCAGCCAACTGCTGAACAGGTCGAGTACTCTGGGTACCTGAGATCAGTCTTATTTGAAGAATTATTAAATCAATGACCTCACAGACAATAAAAATACACAAGAATAAAATAATACATTAATATGAGTCTTCGACTTCTCCTTTTCTCTTAACTTCAATTCCAAACAAACTTCACCTATCTTTTTTTTCCCCCTCCCAGAACAAGCTATCAAGCTTTTAAGAGGCCTTTTCACATAAGAGGTGAGACTCTGGTTTGAGATATTACCAGAAATCTGATAACTGCTTGGGAAGAAGAGTTACAGCATTTCTCTCCCATGAGTGTCACAGGGAATTTGATTTGTCTTAAGTATTGTTAGAGGGAATATATGTGTGGGGTATTTGCTTAAAAATTACAACTGACACCTAGGCTTTGTAAAAATTAAATAACCTCTATTAACTTTTACAAAATAAATTTCATCTTTTAAACTCTGCCCCTAATTGGTGGGCCCATTGCCTGCTTCTAGTTTTATTGGAACACAGCCATGTCCATTTGTTTTATTGTACATAGCTGCCTTTATACTACAAGAGAGTTGAGTAGTTGCAATTAACATTGCTTGGTCCACAGCCAAAATACTAACTATATGGCCTTCTGCAGAATACATGCCAACTCCTGACCTAGAAGACCTATCAAAAACCAAGAAAGGCTCAGGCAAGGTTGCTCAAGCCTGTAATCCCAGTACTTTGGAAGGCTGAGGCAAGCGGATTGTCTGAGCCCAGGGGTTCAAGACCAGCCTTGTCTCTACAATATAGCAAAAAATTAGCCAGGCATGATAGCATGCACCTGTAGTTGTGCTACTTGGAAAGCTGATAGGATTGCCTGAGACCAGCAGGTTAACGCTGGGGTGACCATGAGCGTGCCATTGCATTCCAGTCTGGGTGACAGAGTGAGACTCTGACTCAAAAGAAAAAACTAAGACAGGTATCAAACTAATAGTATCAAATCAGAAGAACCCATGAGCCAACCGGTAAAGACTCCAACAGTCAAATATGGGACAGTTAATTTAAGCATAAATAATTGTAACAAGCTGGGCTCGGTGGCTCAGCCTGTAATCCTGCACTTTGGGAGGCTGAGGTCAGTGGATTGCCTGAGCCAGTGGGTTTGAGACCCACCTGGACAACCTGGCGAGACCTCATCTCTACAATAAATAAAAAAAAAAATTAGCCAGGCGTGGTAGCGCACACCTGTAGTTCCAGCTACTCGGAAGGCTGAGCGGAAGGATCACCGGAGCCCAGCAGGCGGAGGCTGCGGTGGCCGGGAGCGGCCACTGCACTCCAGTCTGGGTGACAGAGTGAGACTCCAACTCAAAATAATAATAATAATAATAATAATAGTAACAATTGCAATAGATTGAAATATGTAATATAGTCTTATGTTTATAATGATAATATTGTTTGTTTTTTGGGGGGGTTGGAGTCTCACTCCAGCCCAGGCTGGAGTGCAGTGGCATGCTCATAGCCACCATAGCCTCAGCCTACTGGTCTCAGGCAATCCTTCTGCCTCAGCCTTCCAAGTAACTAGAACTACAGGAGCACACCACCACATCCAGCTAATTTTTTGATTTATTGTAGAGATGAGGTCTTGCCAAATTGCCCAGGCTGGTCTCGAAACCCCAGGTTCAGGTAATTCTCTTACTTCCACCTCCCAAAGTGCTGGGATTACAGGCGTGAGCCACCATGCTCAGCTTTATAATGATAATGTTTTTAAAAAAAAATAATTGATACCTAGGGAAGGACATTAACAAACATTACTTCACTATTGTTCATTATTTCTTCATTTTGAAAACTGATATCTCAAAATAACCTATCAGCTGCAGAAGGAAATTTTCAATTCATAGAATTATTTCATTTTAGGAATGAAGATAGAATTAATAAACCAGGATATTGCAATTTAGCAACTCCTAATAAAATAAAGGCTATAAACAACACAAAGAGATTAGCAAACATTATGCCCCTCCAGATAAAAGTATACATTACCATCTATGAAGGATACATTTTACCAAAAAAAAAAAGCACGCACCTGATCAAGCAGAAAAACATATTAGTAATACCATTTTACCGATAGTAAAATCCACATTGTAGGAAACTCTATAAGACAAAGCATCCAGTTCCTTCATTCAACAAATAATTTGCAAAGGAGAGGAAGAAAATAAAAACAAGAAACTGTGGATTTCTAAAATGAATGTAGTAAAAGAGTTATCAACCAATCACACTCAATGTATAGATATTACCTGGACCTGGATTCAAAGAAACTGTAATATTAAAAAGTTATCTGCCCTGTGTGGAAATCTAAAGACTAACTGGATATCTGATGATATTAAAGAATTACTAGGTTTTGTTAGAGAGAATAGTAGTATGGTATTTAAGTTTTTTAAAAGACTCATTTTATCATTCACATACATATAGAAATATTTATTGATAAAATAATACATTGTGTATTTGCTTTCAAATAATCCTGGAGTTAGAAATATAGATGAAGTAAGACTGGCCATGAATCAATCATTACTGAAGCTAGGCAGAGTGGGGTACATGGAGGGTCAATAACATTTTGTCCAGTTTTTGTACATGTTTGAATTTTTTCATAAAAAACGTTAATGAAAATGCTAAGCATAAACTGATTTTAATAAACACCAAAAAATTAGGTAATAACTCCACAGTCTGAAAAACTCCAAAACAGCATTATTAATAATTTTATTAGACTTTCCAACAACTAGCAAGATACCCTGTATAAAACAAAAAATCTGAAAATAATGATTTTAAAAGTGATGGTACTGCCTCTGTGAAAAACAATATAGCACGAACTATTAAAATTTAAAGTCCACATATCAGGTGACCCGGCAACAAGTATTCAACCTACTGACAAACTCATCAATGAGCTAAATAACACATATACAAGGAAACGTATCCCAAATATATATAGAATTCTTGTACTTTTTATAACAAAAAAAGACTAACAACTATCTGAATATTCTTTAGCCCCAGTCAGTGTTAAAAGTTATACTAGTAAGGGATACTATGTAACTTAACAAGTATATGTATAATATTCTCCTGGAAGAACTGAAGAAACTAGTTACAATGGTTGCCTCTGAAATGAGAAAACCATGTGGCTAGGGAAGGGCATGGGTGAGAAGAAGCATTTGCTGTATAACCTTTCAGAACCTTTTAAATACGTAAAGGATTATCCCTGAAACAATTAAATTGAGAAGAAAATACCTAAAATGAAATAAAGGCTTTCAAATTTCACTCTGGAAGAGATGTATTTGAAGAATGCAGAACCATTCAAAAATTTGCCAGATGAAAATGTGTTACTTAGATCAAAATGAGAAAAGTGAAGTGCATTCTTACAGACTCCTTTATTCTTTGATTCCAAAGGTCCAAGGATCAGATCACAAAAAGAATCCTTATTATGGAGTTTCAAGATTTAAAAAAATGCAAATGTTTCCAGATCTTAAAAAACCGGAAGGCACTTCAGAGACAATAGAGAAAGTAAGAACTTACCTCGAGTAAAACTCTTTTATCCAATAGTCAAACTTTCCTTGTTCTCTGGGCACCTGTGTAAGAGAAGGTCATTAGCTGGAAAAGGATAAAGAATTTTTTTTTTAGATTAGAAAATATAGCTCACTTAAAAAGCAAATTAGAGAGAGAGAGAAAAAGAGGAGATTCCCCCAAGGTAGGGAAGGGGGCTAAACCCAGGAAACATGGTGACAGCCATAGCTCAAAAAGCACATGGCCACACCAGAGTCTAGCAAGGTAATGGTGTTGATGGTCTGGCAATGGCCAGATAAAGAATCCTGAGACAGCAGGCCTTTCTTTGAGCACAGACTTGTTAAAAACGATCATCTTGCCCCTAGGTCCCAGTGGCTTGCAGCTGTAATTCCAGCACTTTGGGGGCGCCCAAGTGGGAAGATCTCTTGTGGCCAAGAGCTGGAGACCAGCCTGGGCAACAATGTGCGACGTCTGTACTAAAAATAAAAAATACATTAGCCAGGGGGGTGGCAAGCGCTCGTCATCCTGACTCCTCAGGAGGCTGGAGCAAGAGGATCCCTCAAATGCAGGAGTTCGAGGATGCAATGAGCTATGCTGGCATCACTGCCTTCAAGCCTGGACTCAACCTAAGACCCCATCTCAAAAAACAAGTCTTCTTCTCAACCTCATGAGTTAAATTAGAGTCAAGTCAGAGAGATACTAGAGCAATGCTGCCCACTTCAACCAGAGTACAGGTCAAGAATCCCCAGTGGGATCCCTGAGGGGAGAGAGAGTGGACTCTTACAACCGTGATCTCTTTCTCTTCCCTTCTAAACTGCAACACTTAAGGCTGCTTTTGATCTCAAATTATTATTCTGAGATCAGGTCTGGGGCTTGGAGACAGGGTTCTTTATCTGGGATCTTTAGGCCGGGACTCGCCTATCTTCCCACATCGGACAGGGCTTCCAGGGGCCACTTCAAGGAGAGGGGATAGAGTCAACAACAGACCTCAAAACCACAGGCCTCCAGAAACCCTCAAACCCACAAATGACTTCAGTGTGAGCATCTCTCACCCTAACCGCTGCCAGCCCTGTCCTGACCTCCAGATGGGCACAGGTGAGGAGGGGCTAAAGGCATAAAGAGCGGGAACGACGTAGCCAAATGCGGGGTCACTCGCACAGCTACACACACACACACCGCCCGCCCTGGCGTACACACACACACACACACCGCCCACCCTGGCGTGTACACACACACGCACACACACACACACACACACACCGCCCGCCCTGGCGTGCTAAAGACATAAAGAGCGGGAACGACATAGCTAAATGCGGGGTCACTCGCACAGCTACACACACACACACACACACACACATACACACACACCGCCCCGCCCTGGCGTGCTACAGCCTGGGGCTCTGGACACGCACCGTCCGCGTCCCGGGGCTCCGCAACTCCTCACTAAGCCTCCCAGGAGTCCTCTCCGCTCCAGGATCGTCCAGACACAAAGAACCAGGCCGCCCGCGTTCCGCCGCTGCGCGCGGTTCAACTCGTTCCGCCACAGCGGGGGGGAAGTGACGTCACAACCGAGGCCTCTGGGAAATGTAGTCCAGCGCCCGAGAGACCCGAGAGCGCCGAAACTGAGCCTTCGGGTCCGCCTCGGTCCAGCCGTCCTCGGGGAGCCCCCAACCCGCGCTTTGCGGGACTATCGCGCCACGCCCCGTCGGCCGGCAGTCCCGACTGGAACGGCCCCAGCTCCATCGCGGAAGGCTGTCTCCGCCGCGGGACGTGGAGTGCGGCGGCGCAGCTCCGAAGGGCAGAGCCGGCCCCTTCGGGTCTCTCGGGGCCGGTTTGCGTCGGCTGCGGGGAGCCCTCGCGTGAGTCGGGCGAGTGTCCGCGCGTGGGAGGGGAAGATACAGCGGCGTCTGGGAGGCTGAAAGAGAGGACTGCCGGGGTCCTAACCGCTGGCCTGTGGGAGACGAGGGGATATGGAGAGTGCCCCTTTCATGGTGGCGTGAGAGTGACCTCGGGGTTGATCGTGCCGCCGTGTCTGAGAACGTTTCTACAGTATTTTAATTAATTAATTATAAGTGAGAAAGCAGGATTTATTGAGAAGACAGAAAAGCTCCCACAGCGGGAGGGGACCCGAAGGTGTTGCCCCCTCCCTATTTTCTACAGTAGCTTTAAATTTAAAAAAATTTGTGTTTAAAACACGCTGTTTAAAGCCACATACTGAAAAGTGCAAAAATCATTAAAGTTCGATACGTTTTAGTAAGTTGCTCAAACCAGTGTAACCAGCACCCTAGAAACCCTCCTACCCAGCAAAAGTAACCACCATCTGATTTACGACCAGATGAGTTTTGCCTGGTTTTGAACTTTACATAAATGAGGATGTCGGGTGGGTTGGGGTGCAAAAGCCCGTGGATTCTTTGGCTCCTTTCTAAAAGGAATCTTAGAGCAGCCAGCAAAGTGTTCAAAGTTTGTTAGAGAAATGAGGGAGAAAAGAACCCTCACCTTTTGTTCTTTCAATTGACCTGATATACCTTCACAATGATTGATCTGCTAAAGAGAGTGAGCTAAGGTAACTGTCACCCTGGAGATTGACATCTCTGGGCTCCTGGGCGGAGGAGAGAAGACCACACTGTCTTTTGCAAGAGACCTGCTGTAGGTTTCTAATTCACAAGTTCTTTAGTGTTTTTAGTATCATTTCTACGGCTTTGGTCAGCTAATGGGTGGTATTCAGCCTTCTGTCTTCAACAGGGAACCAGAAAGATTCTTAGAGATTATTATGCTAAACCATGAATTGAAAGGTTGGGCTGTCCTAGTCTTACATCTGGCGTTTTCTTTTGATTTGCCGAGGGGATTAGGGTAGGCTGCAGCTTGGCCTGCAGTAAAATGTAATTTTTAAAATGTCTGAATGCTTCCTAAAGCCTGCCTATGGGAAATTTATCTACGTTTAACATGTGCTAGCTACCCTGCCTCAGTTTATATATTTCTCCCTCTTTGGCCTTCTTTTGCCAAGTATTGTTAAATTAATTGATGTTGTTGGACTTGCAGTTTGTTTATTCTCATTGTTAGTGAATATTTGGCTTGCTTTCTGCTTGGGGCTCTTACGAATAGTGCTCTATGATTTATGAACATTCTTTGTATATGTCTTTTCCTGCATAAATGCGTATGTCTGCATCTTGGTTGCACATATACCTAGAAGGTGAATTGCTGGGGCATAGGTTATACTTGTACATACAATATTTAGCTTATGTAGATACAACCAGTTTTCTGAAGTGGATTTTCCAATTTACAGTTTCACCAGCCATATTTTATAGTTTCAGTCTCCGTACATCCTAACATACACTTTATATCGCATGTCTTTTCCTTTTTAATTTTTCTGGTGGTTGTATGGTGGTTTTAATTTGAATTTCCCTGATGTGGCCATTTGGATCTATTCTTTATTGAAATATTTTGCCCATTTTTCTATTTATTTATAGGCGGTCTCTATATACTCTGCACAGGCGACCTTAGTTGAATGTATGTATGGCATATATCTTCTGGCAGTCTATGGCTTGACTTTTCACAAAACTTTAATTTAATGTGGTCCGATTTATCTTTATTTTTGCTTTACGATTAGTGTTAGGGTGTGGAGGGGCACAATACCACTGGAGCCGATATGCCGGAGGTGTGCGCCGGTAACCAGACATCCGAGCAATGCAAAGATTTGCAACACACAAAAAGATGAAGGAAGGAAAGATCGAGCCGGGCTCGGTGGCTCAGGCTGTCGTCCCGCGCCTTTGGGAGGCTGAGGTGAGTGGATGGCCTGAGCCCGCGGGTTCGAGACCCGCCTGGGCAGGCGAGACCTCATCTCTACAATAAGATCAAAAAATGAGCCGGGCGTGGTAGTGCACACCTGTAATTCTGGCTACTCGGAAGGCTGAGGCAGAAGGATCGCCGGAGCCCAGCAGGTTGAGGCTGCAGTGGCCAGGAGCGACCACCGCACTCCACTCTGGGCGACAGAGTGAAACTCCAACTCAAAAAAAGAAAAGAAAAGATCACTTCCCATAGGAGGAAGAGGGCCAGCACTCTAAGGTGAATGTAGCCCCATAGCCCTCGAGCCCCCGACTTAAATCCTCTCCCCTGGAGTTGTTGCCATCATGTAGACATGATTGCTGTGTGACCACTTGGAGATGTCTTTAGAGATACATTTTCTATAGGTAGGATTTAGAAAGCTTTTAGATATTTTTTAAATTACATTTTACTGCAGGCCCGGCTGGCAGCCTACCCCACCCTCTTGGCAAATCAAAAGAAAACTCCATCAGATGAAAGACTAGGACAATCCAACCTTTCAATTCATGGTTTAGCATAATAATCACTAAGAAACTTTCAGGTTCCCTGTGGAAGGCAGAAGGTGTCAATCTCTCTAGAGCCCTGGTTACCTGGACTCCACCATTAACGTATCAATAACTAGGTAGCTATATCTAGTTTGGAGTTGAAAGCAAAAGCCTGGTTTTTCTTCTTTGAAAAACTTGTCAAGCCGGGCTCGGTGGCTCAGCCTGTAATCTCGTGCTTTGGGAGGCTGAGATGAGTTGATTGCCTAAGCCCGCGGGTTCGAGACCCATCTGGGCAACTTGGTGAGACCTCATCTCTACAATAAACCAAAAATTAGCCGGGTGTGGTAGCGCACGCCTGTAGTTCCAGCTACTTGAAAGACTGAGGCAGAAGGATCACTGGAGTCCAGCAAATCGAGACTGCGGTGGCCAGGAGCAGCCACTGTACTCCAGTCTGGGTGACAGTGAGACTCCAACTCAAAAAAAAAAAAAAGAAAGAAAAACTTGTCCATGGCAGATCTTTCTGCCATGAATCTTCCTTCTTCCTTCTTCTCTTTTTCTCACTAATAAACTTTGTTTGAAAACTTTGCTGACCACTCTAAAATTCATTTTAGGAATGAGCCAAAGAATCCACGGGTTTTCCACCACATCCTACCCAACGTCAATATGACATTTTACATTTATATTCAATTTTTCTGAAATAAATTCTTATATATAATGTGATTTAGGATTCATATCTATTCTCTGTTTTTACCAGTACAGGAAAAGAACCCCCAGTGATTTTTACTGTGAGCTCGTATGGTTTTTTTAAATAAAGAAATCATGTGTTTTTATTGTGGTAAAATATACACAATTCAAAATTTACCATTTTAAGAGTACAGTTCAGTGGAATTAAGTACATTCACAATGTAATGCATCCATCACCACTATCTACTTCCAGAAATTTTTCATAATCCCAAACAGAAACTCCATATCCATTAGACCAGGGGTCCTCAGCCCCCCAGGGCCTGTAGACTGGTACCAGTCTGTGGTTTGTTAGGAACTGGGCCACACAGCAGGAGGTAAGTGGCAGTTCAGGGACACCATAGCATTAGATTCGCATAGGAGCACAAACCCTACTGTGAACTGCACATACGAGGGGATCTGGGTTGCACATTCCTCATGAGAATATAATGTCTGATGACCCCCCTCCCCCTTCTCATCCATGGAAAAACTGCGTTCCACTAAACTGGTCCCTGATGCCAAAAAGGTTGGGGACTACTGCATTAGACAATAACTAATTACCCCTATCTCCCAGTCCCTGGTAACTTCTTATCTGCCTTCTGTCTCTACTGTATTAAATTACCTATTCTATGTGCCTTGTATAAGTGGAAGCATACATTTGTCCTTTTGTATATGGCTTCTTTCACTTACCATTTGGTTTCAAGGTCTGTTAGCCATACCTTTTATTTTCTGTATTCTGCAGATGCTATGACATCTGGGCTTTGTTAATCCTCGAGGAACTGCTACTCCCAGGGCTAGATCATTCCTAAAGATAGTGAAAAAAACTTGCTCTCAAGCTCAAATTTCAAATACAAAACAACCAATCCAAAGCCCACACACCAACTACCTTTAATTGAGTTCCCACTCAGGGTCACTATCCACCTGCCCTAACCACCCCAGAGTCAGGTACCGGACAACTAGCAACAGTCCCTATGCCCTAGATCCTATTGAAATTATTCAAACTAGCCAATCCTTAGCCTGCATACTCTGCCTTGCAGTCCCTTCCCATGAAAACCACAAAAAAGGCTCTTGCTCACAGTCCCTCCTCCACCCCCAGCCTGTGACCAACCTTAGTTGGTTTCTCATGTGTCTCTGTATGGCATGGCATGCCCTCTCCCCTTGAGAGCTGTAATAAATGATCTTTTCTTTTCTTTTACTTTACTTACTATAAAGATGTGGGATACAAGTCATAAGTACTCTACATGGGGCCGCCTGGTCCTTACTTCCCCTGGTTTAGAATCACATACACTTAGTGTTGGTATATACCCCACCCCCTCCCCAGCAGTGTCCGACTACTGCTGATCCCTCTCTTGTAGTATTATGATAAATGTTCAGGATCCACTCATGAGTGGAAACATATGGTAATCAGTTGTTTGTTTCTGTGATAAATCACTGAGTATGATGGACTCTAAATGCATCCAATTTGCTG